GTTTTTTATTTAGGTTATATAATTTTATGATATAGCAAGACATCAAAATTCATATTATTAGAAATAATATTCGCGCACCGTGCAGATATATATACTAGTATTAAAAAAAAACATAAAAAGATGATGTGACACTTAACCTTCATTTGCATTTATCTTTTTTTTCTCATTTTTTGTTTTTCTTGCATTTCTCTTGGAATTTATTTTTGGTACAAATGGATTATCAATTAAATGTAGAAATCAATGCATTAAAACCCAATTAAATCTGAACCAACCGACGTAGTAGCATCCCCTTCATGCTAAATTAAATCTTTTTGTAATAAAATTCAATAAGTACAATAAAGGAATACATTTAATACTCATTGAAGTATAATTACTCAATATACGTTTTCTTTCTTTTCATATTGTGTAACTAATTCCTTTGATCTAAAACAAAAGTTCTCCACTGCATGACATTCAGTTTTTCCCCTTTTCATGGCTTCCTTCTCAATTCTTCTTATTTTGCTTCTTTTATTACATATTTTTCTTCCATTATTGATTTTTTGCCACAATTACTAACTTTTTGTATAGATTTTGATGCCTAATTTTATTTGATAGGAAGTTGGAGAGAGCAACGCGTAGACGATCTTATTTGTGAAAAGAATTCGTTCGATTCAAGTTTGAAGAGTACGCAATCAGTAGCGATATATCAAACTTTATTTATATTTATTTTTTGCAAGCTTGTAAATAGTTATGGTGTAAATTCAAATGTATCAATTTTATTTTTTCCGAATAAATGCCCTATTTTAAATTTTAAGAATAATATATACACAGACAATCTCTCTTTGTATATATGATTTCTAAATGCTCTCAAAATAAGTGACATATTTTTTAAAAAAATGCCCTTAAACTATGTGAAATGAATAAAAATGCCCTCCATTTATGATTTGGTTAAAAAATGTCCTTGTCACCAATACTTTGATTTATCAAGTGTGTCTTTAAGTTGTTGATCGAGAGTTTGTGTCTTGTGTGTTTTAACTTATAAGATTTGTTCCGAATCTATACATGAATAGATCGTGTCTTTATATTTCCAGCCAACAGTGAGCATAGTTAGAGTTAACTGTGTAGTGTGTGATTGAAGTATATATTAACTAGAGTGTTGATATAATGGGCAATAGAGTTATTGTTGTGGCTCTTTTTGTAACAGAGGTGTGTTACAGGTTGTAGGATTAAGAGTTTAATCCTTGTTTGATTATTGGACTCTATATTCATTTGTTGCTTAAAGATAGTGAAGAGCAGTTGGAAAATCTTGTTGGATAGGTTGTGATTTTTCCTCCTTGAGCAAGGAAATTTCCACGTAAAAATCCTTATTGTTCTTATTTTGTATTTTAGTTTTTACTGTATTAAAGTGTGACAAGGACTTTGGTCCTATAGCGTGTGATGGACTCGTATAAGTTATCAACCATCCAGCCAAGACCACTACACATAAAAAGGAACCAGATTGAAAAAGATTAGTAAAGACATTTCAATGCAATTGAAAAAAGCTCTAATATAAGAAAAACAAATAGAATATTACCCAAGCACGAATATATATATATATATATATATATATATATATATATATATATATATAGTTATTGAAAAAGAGGTAAAAATTTATCTACACCCATTACATCAAATAATACTAATTTTTATCATGATTAAAAAAAGAAATATTTAACTACTATTTGTGATAACCATATTTGTTACGACACAGATTCTCATATATTTATTGGTGTAACCATAAATAAGTATCATATACAAATATTAAAAGTATATACTGTATCACTATTTGCATCTTATTGTGTCAAAAGAACTAAAAATGAACTAAATAAATAAAAAGGCATGAACAGCCAAATAAGAATAAGAGATAAGGCCATAAGGGGCACCTAAACTATTTTCTATTTTTGAGTTTCGTACCAAAACTATTGACGGTGTTAGTTTAATATCTAAATTATCACTTATAAGTTTGAGAAATACATCTGTCTCTTTTATTACATTCTCGATATGGTGTGTATAATGCACTGTCTCTTTTATTTTAAAAAAATTGCCACATCACACTCTACATGGACAAAACATTCTTGACAAAAATTAAATGAATTATTAATATTAATTAAAGTTAAAGATTAAAGTTTTATTATTTCCCCTAAAAAAAATTATAAATAAACTGTAAAATATTTTTCTTACTCCACTCCACCACTTCCTCCCATTCACTTCCAAGATTTTTACTTGCCACAAGACTTTTTAAAAATAAATTTTTTATTTCTGTTATATTTGGTACGCAAGTAGAAAAAAATATTTTCCTAAAAATATATGTACATATCTAACACAAAACAAGAAAAATATTTTTTTAAAAATTATTAGGAGCGTAGGGGTGGAGTAGGATTTTATTTTATTAAAAAGGTAAAAATAATATGATTTTTTTTAGAAAGAAGTGGGGGAGGGGGTGAGGTCTGAATTTTTTAAAAATATTTTATAAAAGAAATTTAAAAAATAAAAGGATGGGGGATGAGGTAGTGGGGTGGAGTGAGAAAAATATTTTAAATTTTAGTCTTTTAAAAAATAATTTCTTTTTTTTTAGAATAGGAATACTTTAATCTTTAGTTTTTTACTAATATTAATAGTTTATTATTTAATTTTTGTCAAAGTAGAATATTTATCAATGTGGAATGACATGTGACAATGTTTTTGCAAATAAAAGACGGGATGTATTATACACAGGTTTGTTTCTCAAACTAATAAACTAATAAGTGATAGTTTTAGATATGAAACTCACAAATGAAACTTTTAAAAAAATAATTTAGGTATGCTGTTGACACTTATCTCTAAAAATAACCATTTGCACACGATTAGGTATAGTTCATAATTACCGAGTTGATATCTCTGATCTCTCAGGAATCACTAGTCCAAATTTCATAAAGTTTGTGTTACAAACATCAATATAAAAAGAAGAAGAGGACATGTAGAAAATTAAGACTCCTTCAACTTTATATTTTACATAAACTCGTCCGTCAAACTATTAAATCCACATATAAATATGAATATACATAATTAATTGTCTTGGCATATAAAATATATCAATTTGAGACATAAAATGAAATATTCAAAATCATCAATTAGTCCCAAATGAAATTTTGTGTTTGTAGTTGTAAGAAAATAAGGGAGGATTAGAACATACCATTGATTCAGTGTTAATTAGGCGATTGAAAACGAAACGTAGTTCAAAATATATTTTTCACTAAATTAAAACTGTGTCACTCTAATTTTTGAAAAACTTTACGAGAACCAGCAACTTCGTTATTAGAAAATATTAACATAAAACCTATCAATAGAAAAGTATAGACAAAAAATTTTCTTAAGAGTCCCATTTTGACAGAGTTTCCTTAATTTCTTACTCTAATTCAGAGAGAATGTTGATGAAAAGGTTGAAAGAGTGTAAAGAATATTTATTAAGAAATAGAGATTTAGTCCATCAATAATAAAACAAAAAAATAAAGTTGATATTGTTATAAATTTTAGGAACAAATACAGATATAGTCAACCAATAGAATAGCACAAAATAGGACTAAGATTGTTATTAAAAAATTAGGAACAAATATAGATATAGTCAACCGAAGAATAGTAAAAATAAAGTTGATATTGTTATTATAAAATTTAGGAACTAAAAGTTAATTATGAATTTACCTGTTTTGAAAATTCTTTTACCGGGTTTTTCTCCTACAATTGTGATCGGAAAATGTCCTTTATCTCTAAAGTCTAATCTAACTTATTATATAGTTATTTATTACTTTACACTAAATTATATTAATTTACCATAACATGAGATATTGAGATCACGAAAAGTTGAATAGAATATATAAAGATCAAACAGCACTAGTTTATTAGAGAACAAAATGGAGATAGAGTCGGACAACAGAATAACAAAAAATAAGACTAAGATTGTTATTATAAAATTTAAACAAAAAGAGATATAACCGAAATAAAGGTAATATTGTTATTATTAAATTTACACGTTGTTTGGATGGTTATTACTTATTTAACTTCATAACGTATCGTATTATATTGTATTGTGTTGTCTTGTATCATATTGTATTGTTTTAATAAATATCGTGTTTGGATAGATTGTATAGTTCTTCGTCGTTACATAATGTCATACATCCACAATTTGAATAATAAACCTACAAGAAACATAAAGTACGGGATAGAACTACTATAAAAAGGTAAGATAAAAAATTATATATGATTATTAAATAATAAATAAAGACAAAATGAGAAAAAAAATATATTAAGATAACGACACAATCACACCAAATTGGTCTTACATAAAATGACCTTTTTCGTCATTATCTAATGGTGAATTTAAACGATACGATACAATATAATTTAAGTAACAATCAAAATAAATATTGTATTTAAACTAATAATACAATATAGTTAAAATAACAATCCAAATAAGCATTGTATTTAAACTAACAATATCATACAATATATCGGCTAACAACCATCCAAACAAGTTAGGATTAAAAATTAATTGTAGATTCATCTATCCTGGAAAAAATTATTTTGCGGAATCTTTCTCCTACAATTGTGACTGAACAATCCATTTTATCTCTTAAAAGTTCAATCTCTTGTTTTTTATATGGTAAAATTTATTAAATATCATATTTTTTCAGAAAATCATATTGATTTATCAATTTAGATTGAATTAAATACTTTTCTAAAAAAAATCAAAGAATACCAATTAAAATATTATCTCTGAATTTAGTTAAGCCAGGATGAAAAAAATAAAATAAAAATATAATCTCTAATTCATTGAATTTGTAAATCATACCGCACATGTGTTCAATAAAATCAATAATCTTAAAATTAAATTTTAATAAGAGGGCTTAATTATTTTTTTTAATCTAATACTTATCAGTTCGTTAGAGAGAAAAACGAATTCCTTTAAATAGTCACAAACAATTTTAAAAGAGGAATCCAACCACACATAGATGGCGGAGAAAATCACCGGAATGAACCCTAAAACCACCGTGCACGGTGTTACAACCAACAACAATTTGGATACGAGAAATGCAGACCGACGTGTATGGTTGATGAAATGCCCTACCGTCGTCTCTGGATTCTTCGAACAGCATCAACACTCTACTTCCGGTGAAACTGATCTCTCTTTTAATTCTCCGAGACCTGTTGCCAAAGTCACCGTCGTCGTTGATCCTCTAATCGCCAATGATTCAACTCAATTTACCATGGAATTAGCCGGAACTTCATCTGGAAACATGCCCACTCACTACTCCATGGATATGTCAACAGATTTTATTCCAATGTCGATATTTTCTGAATCAGGTCAAGGAAGGGTTTCGGTCGAAGGAAAGATATATCACAAATTTGATATGAAGCCTCATCATGAAAACATTGAGAATTATGGAAAACTATGTCGTGAGAGGACGAATAAGTACATGACGAAAAGTAGACAAATTCAGGTTATTGATAATGATAATGCTAAACATATGAGGCCTATGCCTGGTTTTTTCGCAACTAAGGCTTCTGGATCTGCTGCAGAGAAGAAGAAGGTGCCTAGTAAAGGATTAGAAATGAAAAGAACAAGGAGGGATCGTGACGAAATGGAAGAAATTATGTTCAAACTGTTTGAGAGGCAATCAAATTGGACGTTGAAACAGCTCGTCCATGAGACGGACCAGCCTGAGCAATTTATGAAAGACATGCTCAAACTACTCTGCATTTACAATAATAAGGGCGCTCATCAAGGCACTTATGAGCTGAAGCCGGAGTATAAGAGAACAGAAGACAAGACTGATTCTTGATTATTTTAGTATAAGCTTTCTAGTAGGAGGCGTTAGCAGTCAGCCAAGGGAAAACACCAAGTGATTTTTACTTGAAGATAACATTGTTTTGTGTATAAAATCATATGGTCGTTATAAATAGTCTATTTGGTATATCTAATCAATTCTATTCTGCTGTTAGATAAATTTTTTTTGTATAAATCTGATATATAGTGAACGAAACCGATGCTAAAGTAGCTGATTATTCGAGAAGGAGCTAGCTAGCATGCACATGGCTCATTTGATACATATTTTATGACTGCGTGTAGAACTTTTGCATATGCTAAATGCAGGTGAACAGTCCTCCTATCTGGGTAAACAAGGTTACCATACTGAGCTATAGAATTTTCAATGACAAGTCGATCATCTGTGATCAATTTATCAAGGCCTTCTTCTATCCAAGGAAGCCTCTGTTGGAACAGCAAAGGAAACCAAAAATTTTGTTCTTTAATTAGTAGTAAGAAAGTAGGTATATACTGTGGATAGTAAGTAATTTCGTTTGCATTTTATTCAATGAAATAAATTCTGATTAGGTGGTTTTTAATGCTCTGCAGTCCCCATCCACTTTCACCTCGACCTCTAGAAACCAATTCATTGAGAATTCTCCCAGCGAGTAAAAATTAGTTGTATGGAGTGGAGTGCTTGTGAAAAAGTTGCTTTAGAGCAGGGGTCTTTAATTCTTGCGCTATAGTAGTACTTAAGCGACTGGTATGATTGTGGAGGAATTCCAAGAGTTTGTCTATGATAACTTACCATCATATTGCAGCCACTAAAAATTCAGAACAAAATGATGGTGTATAAGCACGAAGTTGAGAATTTTCATAACACTAATGGGACTAATGAGGTTTTGGATAATGAACGTGAAAAAGATGGGCAACGAGCTAAAGAGATGGAAGTCACGGTAGACGTGGGAGTTCCATGCAAGTCAATGAGTTAAATAAATCATATGGTTGTTACTAGTCTATTTGCTAAATCTAATCAATTCTATTCTGCTTTTAGATTTAAATTTTTTGTATAAATCTGGTATATAGTGAACGAGACCGATGCTAAAGTAGCTGATACTCAAGGAGGAGCTAGCATGCGCATGGCTCATCTGATACATATTTTGTGACTGCATTGGAAGTGCGTGTAGATCTTTTGCATATGCTAAATGCAGGTGAACAGTCCTCTTATCTGGGTAAATAAGGTCACCATACTGAGCTATAGAATTTTCAATGACAATCCTATCATCTGTGATCAATTTACCAAGGCCTTCTTCTATCCAAGGAAGCCTCTGTTGGGACAGGAAAGGAAACCGAACATTTCCTTCTTTAATTGTCCAAGGAAGCCTCGATGTCCCTTTTTATTTGTCCTTAGTACACATTCCTTCTGAACACATTCCTTGTTTAGCTTTGTCTGATTCACCCTCGCCAGTGTATTTGCCAAGCTGAGCAAGAGAGTTGGCCTTAGCCCTGATGAGCAACGTGTCCTGAGCAGCCTTCACGTTCTCAGGGAGACCTCCCCATGTCTTCAAGCAAGTATTTTGAAGAGCCCTAGCATAGGAGAAGGACACGTGTCACGGGTTTGGAGATTGATTTATGGCATTCAAGTTGAAGGTAGTCTCAACTTCTGATTGTCCACCAGATAAGAACCGTTCAAATCCCGACAGCAGTAATCTTGTTAGCATGATTTAAGGTAATAATCTCCTACCTTGTTTAAAAGTTTATGTTGTTTGTAACCTCAAAAATATTCACTCACTTTTTTCATCTATTTACAACCTATGCTGGTAGTCTGCCTTACTATCCTGGTAACTTGTTCCACTTATTACGGATTGTTATATCTTAAAGTGATTTGACAGTGTAATATTCTTCAAACTAACCGTTTATACAAGTTAAAACAACTTAGTAATAGCGTAAAAATGAGGAGGAAACTTGCCATGATTCCAGGGACAGCTGGGGGAATTCTTCTTTGGAGGAGCTTAAGAGTATAATCAGCAACTTGCTCTGGAGTGGCTCTGTCTTTGCATTCAGCACCAAGAGTGACCATACTTGGCTTGAGGAGAATACCCTCAAACATGACATTGTTCTCAGCTAGGTAAAAGAAGACCTCTGCTCAAACTTTTTCCGCAACCTCAAAAGTCTTGTCAATGCCATGGTCACTATCCAGCAATATTTCTGGCTCCACAATTGGGACCAAACCACTGTCCTGAGAAATGGCTGCGTAGCGAGCCAAACCCCAGGCTGCTTCCTTCACTGCCAATGCAGATGGTCCATTGGGAATGCTCACTACGGTACGCCTAAAATTATTAAAAATGTTAGCATATGATCATAGTCAGTAGTCATAAGATTAAAGCATATAGAAAATAACTCATCATTTTCTAAAAGTTGTTACCATTTGGCAAAGCGAGCTCCTTGTTGGTAGTAAGCAGCAGTGCGTGAGGTAAGACCATCGAGACCTTGGCACCATGACTCATCATTTGAAACAGCAAGGGGAACCAAATCCTGTTTTAATCAAATCATAAGATTATTAGGAGATCATTTTCATATAAATTTAGATGAAAACGAACTTTTGCTCATTAACCAAGCTTGGAAAGTGTAGTCAAAGCTTGAAACGGGCATGACGGGTGATGGGTGGCTCTAATACCATTGTTATAATCCAGGGAGAACCACACTCCAAAAGCTAGCTATTGAGATGGGAGATCCCAAGGCGATATAAGCCCCACCTCAGCACATAGTAGTACCGACATGGGATATAACTCCTACTCATGCTCAACTGGCTGCCTGGTACCAATCCATCTACTACGCCTCATTATGAAACTAGTTATATTGGTTATGAATCAATTATTCAGAGGTTTTGTTACAATTAAAAGATTGATGCTAGCTATCAACCTACAACCTTAGTCTTTTATTTGAAAACGGAGTTTCAAACCAAACTAGTATCATACGAGCTTACTTGGTTATATTAGACAAATATTCCTAGTCAACTTTGATACCAGGAACAATGTTTTGTTCAACAAGAACATCAACCATTTTTTGGCCATCAGTTGTGGATTGGTAGAGGGTCTCTTCAAGAGAATGGCACCAGAGATGTACTGTCCTAGACCTGGAGCTGTCACAAGCAGTGTTCTGTAAGCTTGGCGATTAGCCTCAGTGTTCTCTAGCCCAATGGATGCCAGACGCTTTCCACAGGTAACATTTGACTCAGCCATAGCCAATATTCCACGCCCTGGTGATGCAATTGTTTCTGCACATTAGCCCACACAGTTGTTAATTAGGAATATAATGTTACATTAGTCCTTCAGTTAATTAACTTTGACACATTTCACATCTTGCTCAACTTAATTGTTCTTGATGACTACAAATTCCTAAATTATGGTGTGATGTTATGATTGTCCAAATACCAATGAAGGGTAAACTAGTTAACCAAAAAAAAAAAACTCATAATTAATATTTCTTAAGGGACGTGTAAAAGAGAATCACGACAATTCATTTGAGATTGAGAGAGTATTCATTAACAATGTGAAAACTACTGCATCATCAATGTGTTTTTAGGTCTTATTAGCAACTTATTAACATCTTTGGATAACCAAATTACAATTACTATTGACGGTTACACGTTATGTGCTGAGGCACATTAACTTGGCAACAAAATTGTACATTGTCATGTCAGTGTACAAAAGTTAAACTCATTATGAGCGCAATGGAACTTACGTACAGCGGTCTTAACGATCTCATCAGCATAGGAAGAAGTTGCACGAATTGTGAGAGAAGGGGCGGATATAGGGTGGCAGCGGATTACTGAGGCAGAAGATTGGCGAAGACTTTGCCCCTTAACGAATTCAGATTTGTCATCAACAGGAGATGACTTTAACAGAGATGTTGAGGCCATTTTCTTTGGTCTTTTTTGTTATTTTTTCCTCAAAGGAAGAGTACTCTTACTTACTTCAAGTACCTTAATGTCATCTCAGTGTTCTCTACAAGTCTACCCTCACCACAAACAAATTATTTCTCAAACTGTGTCAAATTAAAGATATCTCATTTGAGGTAGTTATGCTCTGAACAATGTCTACGGGTCAGTTTTTCAGAAATATACATAAAAATGTAGCTACTTGGAATCGAACTCTATGACTTTAGACAATTCTACCACTCGACTACACCATGCTCTTTAATGAAATATTTTTGTCGTTTTTATTTGTACTCTTTGACTGCAATTTTTCCACTTCAAAAACCCTTGTCCGTCTGTTTTTTTTAAGAAATAACTAGAAGAGAAACAGAGACTTACGCAAGTCCTGAATTGTCGTGATCTCCACCATAATATTTGGAATATGGGAAATGTTGGACCACACGGAGTTTGAGCTACTCCGATTGGTGCAACTTTCTTCTAACTTTCGGCAGCCTTAAATTTCCAAGTTCTGTAATTTGGTGAGATGTCTCGTGGCATCTCTGGATGGAAGAAAAAACACACATAAATATTCATGATTAAACCATATCTTAAAAGTAATATAGATATTTATAAATTTTGTTTCAAGTGGAACGAAAATATGTTTGGAAAATTATAAAAGGATAATGGAGGAGAGTAACTCGTGGAAAATTAAAATTAAAAATGAGACTCAAAAACTGAAAGAGAAACAGAAACTTACTCAAATTCTGAATTATGCTTCCACCTAGTTTAATTTTTGGAATATGGGAAATGTTGGACCAGTGGGAGTTTGGGCCACTCCGATTTGTGCAACTTTCTTCTAACTTTGGGCAGCCTTTAATTTCCAGGTTCCGTAATTTGGTGAGGAGCTGCATGGCATCTCTAGATGGCAGAAGCTCTAGTTTCTCGCATGTCCATAAAACTAACTCTTGCAAAGAAACAAGGTTGCCGAGCCCATCCGACAGAGCTTGACAATAGCTGCTGAATGCCATTAAAAATATATTGGAATGCCTCAAAATCCACCATCTCTGAGAAAGGACCAATTTCCAAATTCAGTAACCCAATGAGAAGGTGAAGGCCCCCTGTGGGTACACGAATTAATTTGGGACATCGTGATATATTCAAATATGAAAGTGAAGGCATTTCCCCAAAATGTAAAGGGAAGGAAATTAAGTTGTTACAGTTGAAGACCTTCAAAGATTTCAGAGACCGACAATGCTCTAGCATCCCACTTGGTAAACTGGTCAATCCATCACAGTTCCATAATCGAAAACTTTGGAGGGAAGTCAAATAATTCTCTCCAGTGGGAACAGGAAAGGAACTGAAATTGGTACAGAGATTAATCCTTAAGCTCTTAAGAGAATGGAGATTGTACAAGCTTTGTGGCAATTCTTTAAACTCTCCGCAGTCTGAGACCCATAGGTGTTGAAGTGAAACGTTGTTGCATAGCATCTCATCTGGAAAAAAAGTGAGCTCTTTCACAGCATAGACACTAAGCATTACGAGAGATGTCAAGTTGCTGCACAAGTTCAACAATGGCATTTCACTGTCAACTTCTTCAATTGTTAATTCACGGAGGATTTCAAATTGACTTGGAGTACTTTTTAACAATGGACAGTTACTAATCCTCAACTTCTCAAGCCTAGGAAACATTCTTACTCCAACTTCATCTCCCTTCCACTCAATAAGGCTACGCATATCCTCCAATACTAGTTCTTTCAATGATGGGAACACTTGGATATTGCTGCTTGATCCAATATTGTTACCATCAATACCATAAAATGTAGGTTTGATGCATTCTACCTTATGTAACCTTAACAGCTCAAGATGCTGAAAGAATTTCAGTTGGCCAAGCGATGGAATTTCTTTGCATCTTTTGCAACCACTTAATTTCAAGTTGACCAAATTTGGTAGCAATTCTTCTCTGAACCATAAAGGAAATCTAGTACCTAAATAGTTCTTCACTTCTAAGGTTTTCAAGTTAGGATGCGGTTGAAGACCATCCAACACATGCTCATCAATGGTTTCACAGCATTCTGGTTCATCATGGAACCATGCATATGCCAGCTTGTAAATATTTGATTTCTCTTGTAAATATGCTGTTCGAGCTTCTTCTCTACTACGGACCAATTCCAGCTCATTGATTGTCAATTCACCTCTAAGGTTCTTCAAACGACCTAATTCTTCTATTCGACAACCTTTCTCTAAACCCACATTGAAATATTGTAGGGCCTGAAGAGAAGTCAATTGTCCCATGTTAAGTGGCATCTGAGACCGAGAATGGCAATATATGTGTCTCAAACTTATCATATTTCCCATCTCAAATGGAAGTTCACCGAGTGAATAACAGCCATTGACTCTAAATGTTTGCAAATTATAAATGTTCTCTACCTACGCATGTATTTTGTGATAGTCAGGCTGCTGTTCACATAGCCAAGAATCCAGTCTTCCATGAAAGGACAAAGCACATAGAGGTCGATTGTCACTTTGTTAGGGACAAGCTTCAACAGGGACTGGTCACACTCCATCACATCTCTACAACCTCTCAACTAGCAGACATATTCACCAAAGCCTTGACTGGGATCAAACATACAACACTCATGAGCACGTTGTCTGTGATCACATCACTTCCAACTTGAGGGGGGCAGATGAGAATATATTTCACAGTAAATTAGTTAGTTAGAATTAGCTACAGTAGAGTTAGTTGCTACAGTCGAGAAGTTAGTTAAGTTGTTACTTGAAGTTAGTCAGAGATTCTTTCTTATTTCTTACTTTGTATATATACTTCAGCTTGTAAATGATTTAGTCATTCATTCAGTTCAATACAAAAAGTGCAATGCACAGAATTCTTCTCCCCACAAACAGTTGATTGTTGATTTCTTCTTTGCTGCATTCAATCCTCCATTAATGGAGGAAAGTAGTCTCGAGCAGAGCTTATGCTCTTAGTTTTGTCAGAGTGGGGCAAGGCTGTGATGTTAGTGTCTGGGAGATCAAGATATCTCAAGTATATTAACTTCCCGATTTTGGCTGACAACTCCTTGATTCCTGAACTGGACAAATTTAAAACTCTCAAGAACTTAAAACTCAACAGCATATCTTCCAATATATAATTGCTTTTCCAAAACAGTGTGCACAAATTTCCTGGCTCATTTATCTTATATATTTGATCACTTGGTGAGTCCCATCCAAAGTATCGCACTTGAGAAAGATTTTCTCCACCATCGCCCCTCGGATCAAATAGTTTAGATTTTAAGATATCTCCTGCCAAATCATGCACAAGATCGTGCATCTTACAGTGTGTAATATTGTTGTGCTCATCTAACTTAACATCTTGTAGCAAGGAATTTCGCAACAAGAGTTGAAAGAACTTGTTCCCAATGACTTCCATTACGGTGATCTCTTGACACGGATGAAGAAAGCCTTCTGCCATCCAGAGTTGGATTAGTTGGTCCTTTTCAAACTCAAAATCTTTTGGAAACATTGCAAAGTAAGCAAAGCATTTTTTCAGATGTGGAGATGGTAGATAATCATAGCTGAGTTTTAGGATTTTCCTTATGCTATTTTCTCCATTATCATCTTCACCTGCAACAAGGGTGTTTCCATCAAGAATTGTCAGCCATTCATGTTTTTCCTTGTTGCATAAGAGGCCTCCCAACACACTTGCAGCCAATGGTACACCTTGACACATTTCCACAATCCTGTTCTCCATGATCACTATTTCCTCTGGAACTTCCACATCAACAAATGCTCTTTGTTTGAAAATGGACCAACAATGATCTTTTGCTAATTTTTCCAACCTATGAGGAGCTGCTGCTGCTACTGTGGACGCCACCTGTTCATACGAGTAGTCACAAGAATGAAGTTTCCTCGGGATGTATGTATTCCTCGCAAGGTGTTCACAAACTCATCCCATAATGTAGAGTCAACACGCCAAAAATCATCCAGGACAATCAAATACTTTCTTCCTGCCAATTCATCTTGTAGCGTCTTGACTATTATATCTCTACTTTGGACCTCAACTTTCCTCTTTGTCAAGGATTCAAGGATCAGTTGAATAAAGCTCTTAATTTCTGACATTTCAGGTAGACACAACCAAACTCTCTTTTCAAAGTGTTTCAAGATCTGTTCATCATTGAAAATTCTCTTAGCCATAGTTGTTTTGCCTAAACCCCCCATACCAACTATGGGAATGGTGCACAGAACAACATCCTCTCTGATGTTCAACATCTTTCTCTTTATCACTTCAACATCGCTGTCTCTACCAACAACCTCCGAAGAAACTACTATGGAATCTGTTTCACGAATTGGTAGTATTTGCCGAGGAGGAACCATGAGTGATTGGAGACCGAGGTTTTTGGCTAACTTATTGATAGCCCTCAACTTTTCATTGATGTTGTTGATTTTTCGAGACATTTTGCTCTTAAAAGTTGTATGAGAAATGAAATCACTGACCTTTTTCATTGGTTTGTTTCGGATCTTCACTTGTCTTTTGATAGATTCATACCTGAATTCGTCAAACACATTTTCAGCAGCTCTCTCAAGCATCTTGAGCCATAGTTTCACAGCCTGATCGTCAACTTGTCGTCTTTCAGCATCATGAATGAAAGCTTGGATCAAGGATGCATTTTGTGTAAGCATTTCCAAATCTTTCTTGCAGTCCCTTGAGCTACTGAGTTCCTCAATAGTGAGAGAAAGCAACTTTTCGAGCAAAACTTGAATTGTAGCACCAATTACAGGATCGGCCATTGTTGTGTTTGCTCCTTCACAAAGTCTTGTTCCTATGCACCAGTCTTCAAAGTTTGTGCATAAGTCTTCTTTTGCTAGTTGTTTGTGGACCACTAGAAGGAAGACAATAATTTATAAACACTAAAATCGGAATGACTAAAAGATCCTCCTACTTTATTCTGATTTGTGAACCCAGTCCTCCAACTTGATCAGGCATCGCCTAGGCACTCCACTTATAGTGGTTCAAACTTGAAACACACTACTTTAAACCACTCCAAACTCATTGTGTCTCTCAATCACGCTGCCATACTTCTGTAAAAGCACCATTGGGCGGTGGTTCCTCTCCTTCCTCTTGAACCTCAAACAAAAAATCGATCTCACCATCAGCTCGACTAAGAGTTCTGAATCAAAAAAGTAGATTGAGAAAAAAATTGCCACATCATTTTACATTTTTTTGAAGAAAAAGAAGGCAAAATCCCAACCATTTTAAGCTTATTCCCCTCCAACACCAGTGCACCGCTGTAATACCTCAGGTCACCTTCCCCGTTAAATCGGAAACCTCACCACCGAATTTATTCCTCTACAGCAATAAAGGCTATACTTTTGAAGCCCATTGTGATCATAGGGAAATCAAGTTCACGTTCCCCCGGCGATCCTATTACTCTATGCCTCAGAAAGCCAACTTTCTTCTTCCACCATGGCTCCTCCATTTCCTCTACTCACAGTTCTATCCTAAGCAACAGAAACTGATCTGGAGTCAACATATTTACAGTTGTATCCTAAGTAGTCAGGTTGACAAATCAAAATAAGTACAAGGATCTCCCAATCCATTTTTTCTTTTACTAGTCTCTCGCCACACACGTTGTGTGTGTACCCTTCATCTAATAGTATAAAAATACCACATAAAGAACATGTCCAACTTGAGAGATTGCACATCTTCTTGCATACTTCTCTAATAACTCAAAGCACTTGAAATATGGAAGAATCAATTAATATACCCAATTGTTTATCTATCAATAAAGAATTACTACTAAAAAGGAATTATTACATTTAAAAGATTGATGCTACCTATCAACCTACAACCTTCGTCTTTTATTTGAAAACGGAGTTTCAAGCCAAACTAGTATCGTACGAGCTTACTGGATTAAATAAAACAAATATACCTTGTCAACTTTGATACGAGGAACAATGTTTTGTTCAACAAGAACATCAACCATTTTGTGGCCATCATTGGTAGAGAACGGCACCAGATGTACTGTCCTAAGACCTGGAGCTGTCACTAGCAGTGTTCTCTAGCCCAATGGATGTCAGACGCTTTCTGCAGGTAGCATTTGACTCATCCATAGCCAATATTCCACGCCCTGATGCAATTGTTTTCTGTACATTACCACACACAGTTGTTAATTAGGAATATATATTACATTAGTCCACGTCTTGCTCCACTTTATTGTTCTTGATGACTACAAATACCTAACTTATGGTATAATCTTATGATTTTTCAGTTAACAAAACAAAAAACTCCTAATTAATATTTCTTAAGGACGTGTAAAAGAGAATCACGGCAGTTCATTTTAGACAGAGGGACTATTCATTAACAATGTGAAAACTACTACATCATCAATGTCTTTAAGGTCTTATTAACATCTTTAGATAACCAAATTAGAAATACTATTGACGGTTACACGTTATGTGGTAAGGCACATTAACTTGGCAACATTGTCATGTCAGTGTACAAAAGTTAAACTCATTATTAATAGCGCAATGAAACTTACAGCGGTTTTAACGAGCTCATCAGCACAGGAAGAAGTTGAGACTTTGCCCCTTAACGAATTCAGACTTGTCAACAAGAGATGACTTTAACAGAGATGCTGAGGCCATTTTCTTTTGGGTTTATTTTGTTATTTTCTCCTCAAAGAAAGAGTACTCTTACTTACTACAAGTACCTTAATTATCTCAGTGTTCTCTGCCACAAGCAAATTATTTCTCAAGCTGTGTCAAATTAAAGATATCTCATTTGAGGTTACTTGGAATCGTACTCTATGACTTTAGACAATTCTACCACTTGACCACGCATGCTCTTTAATGAAATATTTTCTTCATGATTTTGACCACTTCAAAAACCCTTGTCCGCCTGGTTTTTTTAAGAAATAATTAATAACCCAGGGACTGTCGGTTTTCTTTTTTTTTAAAAATAAGTTTAAAAAATTATAAATTTTGCATGAAAGAACGAGGATGTTTGTGGTTTTCTATTAAGAAAAAACAACGGATCTAAGAGTCGGTCTTCCCTCGATTTTTTGGACCCATCCTATCCATCTGTTTTCTGTCCGTTGGTTTTTTCATTACTTTTTAGATCACCTGAATTTCTTTTTTGCTTGCTTTATTTGGAGTTATTTGACCGTTGAAACTGACATAACAATTAGTGATATAGTAGATTACAATTAACTTTTGTCTACTCAAAATCAGCACCATGCCCAAACGTGTGGCTCTGATTAGGAGTCCATTGATCATTAGGCCACGCCCTACGCTATGTTGGCAGTAATGAATGGTCATGGTTCTCATTCAGTTTCAAGCATTAAACCATGGCTAATATAACTACAGGGTTCAATAAAATTCAGTTTTTCTAGGTTAAATTTTGTATTTATACCAAAAACAAGTATTGCTAGAGAAAGATATGCATTTTAGAACTCATTTTCTCAACTAATTCATGTGTCGTAAATTCTAGATCCGCCACTAAATTACAAGATATGTTAGACCCAATAACATCTTATTGTTTTATAGGTAGCTTGCTTAACCAATTCGTTTGAATTGGTTTAAAGTTGGTCAAATAGGCTTAAAAGCACTTTTCACCTCCAACAAGGTCACCAGCGAATCACTCAAATTATCACCAAATACTTAACCAGCAAGAGCCTAAATCCAGGGCTGTCAGACGTAAAAATCAACAGCACAAATACCAAGCCAAACCATTATATGGATGCTGTCATCCTTCCCATCAGCTAGCAGAATCACCAAATAAAATGCAAATACCTCACAATAGTCATATTAATCCATGTTCTTAAATAACAGTCTCATCATATCCATGCAAAAGATGTAAAGACGCACACTAAAGCAACTAGTTCCAAAATCCGATATTTTCTAAAAAAAACAAAACAAATGTCAATCTCAATTCAAAGAGATAAGCGGCACATGTCATCAGTAGTCACCCTATTAATATGGCATGGCTTTCATCTGTCAGTACCTCCTGGGAAAACGGTCCATAAACCTTCCAGAGGGACACTCATAGGCTTGGTGTCCTCTTCCCCCGCAGTTGTGACAGATCATCAGTGCCATGCAATCTCGACTCATATGGCCTACTTGCTGGCAGGTTCGGCATACAATGTCCCGATATCCTCCACCTCCACCTCCACCCATAGGACGGAATCCACCACCTCTCTCTTCAAGAGCACCAGACTTGGGGCAATCTCTAGCCAGATGACCAGATATATTACATAAATTGCACACAGGATCATTTTGACAATCACGTGCCAGGTGACCAGTCTTCCTACAATTTTTGCACGCCTTGTCATTGGTGCAGTCGACTGCAATGTGGCCTTGCTTGAAGCAGTTATTGCACAGCTTCAGGTCACCAGGAGGAAGTGGAGGAGCCGTGCAGTCTCTAGCACGATGTCCTGCCTTACCACAGGTGTGGCAGATTCCTTCATTTGGACAGTTGCCAGCCATATGGCCTGGTTCTCGGCAATTCCAACAAAGAGATTTTGTGGTACACTCCGAGGCAATATGCCTGTTCAAATATTGGAGGCAAAATCAAAATTAAAAGAGTAACAAATATCACTTGTTTTAACAACCTTACTGACCCCATTCTCAGGAACAAGCATCTCTGACAGAAATGATAAAATAAAATAAAACAAATACACCTCGAAAAAAGAATGAATGAATGAACAAGTAATACATATATTAGGAAAGCCAAAGAAAGAAGTCATTTTATCAAGCAACTCGTAAATATCAGCAGTATGTGTCCCCATTCCCGTTCATTTTATCAAGCAACTTGTAAATATCAGAGGGTATAGATGATGTAAATCAGTTAGTAGATTTCCTAGGCTATTTGTAATCATGACTACTTCGCCTTGGAATTTTTTTGTTTGGTTGCCAGCATACCCTCATTGCTGATGAATACAACTTTACCATTCTCAAAAAAAAAATATCAGCAGTATGTGTCCCCATTCCCTTTAAGACAACACTCAAGCTCAAGTCTGGATATTGTTGGTTATTATGTAAAGAATCTTGTGTTTGCTTGGTGTTTCATGTTATATTAGTGCTAAGCAACTAGTATGTACTGGCAGTTCTTAAATACTTGTAAAATTTGATATTGTTTGGGTATTTTAAAAGCTAAGTACTACAAATTACATAGAATTATTTCATTTCTACATGTTGCTTCCTTATGATGTGAATGTCTCAAGTTTTCAACTTTGATTTCAGGATATCTTTTCCCCTTGGTTACCTGTAATCTAAGACTAGACAGTGTGCTGCCCCCTTAAAGGATATCAGGGTATATCTTGCCCCTTAGTTACCAGTATCAAATGTCAGAAAGTGATGCAAACAAATGGGATGATGAGTAAGCAATACAGAAAGGTAATATAACATCATCAGTAGCTGCCTTTATGGTTAAATTTGAATCTGTTGAATAACAATTTCTCCAGAGTACATTAAGTAAATGCAATAGTAATTCTTAAGCTTTCCAGGGAAACATGTAGCTTTATTTTTTTATAAAGGTAACATCAGGGTAACAAGTAGTTAATTAACACAC